GAGTGGCTCCCCCCCCCCCTGTCTGGGTGAGGGCTGGGGGGTCAGCGGGGTGTGTGTGTGTGTGTGTGTGTGTGACGTGGTTACCTCTCCTCGCCACAGGGACAGGATGTTGTCAGTGACGTGGATCACGATGGGCTCCCAGTCGTCTCTGTCTGTGGAGTTCATGATGCTCTCGATGGCTCGGTTCAACACCTCCATACCTGAAACACAGATGACAACCTGCAGACCACTGCTGTGGAGACCCCCCCCCACTGAGACTACAGCCACAGCTGTGTTGAGGAGCAGGGAGACCCCCGTCTAAACGTGGTCTTACCCATGGCTCTGGACACCGGCAGGTTACCGACGTACTGGACCTCAAACTTCTGGACCTGCTGCTGCATGGCCTCCAGGAACTCCACTGAGACACAACCAGAGACTTCAGGACCACAGTCAGTGACAGGGGAACAGCCAATCACAGCAGGGCACAGACGCTCACCTTGTCTGGGCAGGTCCTCAGGTGAGATGCTCTCCATGGTCAGTGAACGTGAAGGTCTCATCAGCACCTTCTCTGACATCATCTGCACACATGGCAGGTCACATGGTCACATGGTCACATGGTCACATGGTCACATGGTCACATGGTCCAGAGTTAGCTGCACCCACACACACCCACCGCCGGCGCTGGTCACAGCGGACCCACCTTGGAGCACATGTCGTGCAGGGCGCTGGCGATGGCTTTGGCGGGAGCGTCGCAGCGGAACACGTGACACTTCAGCATACAGCTGTCCTTGTCCCCGGCCACGAAGGCAAAGTCCCTGAACGCATCACACGGGGACATTTGCCACAGGACCAGAAACTGACCCACTGCCCCACTGGCTCAAAAAAAATGTAGTGTGTGTGTGTGTGTGTACCTGTCCCTGCTCAGGTGAGGGGGTCAGGAGGTCAGGAGGTCAGGGGGTCAGGGGGTGAGGGGGTAAAGAGACACAGAGAGACGCATCTTAGATTAAATCGGTTCAAAATCCCAGACCTACAGACCGGGTCTGGACTGACTGACCTGCCGTTGTTGCAGCCCACCCCCCACACACGGATATTTATGATTGGCTGACAGTGAAGGGGGGTGTGGTCTAGAGGATCCAGCAGTGTCAGAGCGTCTCTCTTCAGGACCAGCATCATCTCCCGTCCCTGCACAGACAGACCAGGATCAAAGGAGTCCCACTGTTCCGCTCTGATGTCGGCCGGGACTTGAACCACTCACCTCCCCCCAGGCTCCCTGACGCTCCCTCTGCTCGGGGCTGCTGCACTGGGTCAGCTGCTGGATGACGTTACTGACCGCCAGGCTGCTGCGTCCAGGAGACAGGTCGTCCTCCTCCACCTGCAGCCAGCCCAGAGACCGCACGGCAAAACACTGGGGGGAGGGGAGTGAGGGGGGGTCAGATTAAAGCGTGGAGGTGGATTAGAGCAGATTAGGACCAGAATCATGCGGTCACTGCACTGACAGTCACGGAACAGTTCCACCTGATGTGAACCAGATCAAAACAAACGACCTCCTGACCTTGACCTTGTAGACTGGTCTACGAACCCCGGTCAAGACCAGACTTACAGACTGCAGTACAGCAGACTAGACAACAGGTGGTGCTGGTGGTACCGTACCTTGGACTCGGGGTCGTGGTTGCTCAGATGATCTTCAAGCCATGAGGACCTGAGAGGACGAAGACATAAAAGACTGAGTAAAACCGTGGTTGGAGGTCCTCGAGACGTGGCGATGACGTGGACACCAGTCGGACCTGTTGTCAGTTTTTCTCTCCATCGGCCTGTTGACATCCGACTGTTGACCGTCCTCCTGCTGAGACACGATCACAATCAAAGTCAGATATTTAGCAGAGCTAACGTAGCTAAATCATGCTAACGTGGTTAAATTAGGCTAACGTAGCTAAATCATGCTAACGTGGTTAAATCAGGCTAACGTGGCTAAACCAGGCTAACGTAGCTAAATCATGCTAACCTGGTTAAATCAGGCTAACGTGCAACAAGATAGAGTTTCGTCCAGTGCCGCTGTTGAAAATATCCTCTACTTTTCTGCTTGTTTTGAAATTCTGCAATAAGTAGATTTTATTTTTATGACCACATAAATTTATTGTGGGCTCCCTCTAGTGGTATGTCAGGGAATTGTATCACCATTAAAAAAGGTGAGCCACTGAGTTGTTACTAAAACTGTGATATATTTTCACCCCCTGTGTGTCTGTGTGGGGGGGTCTGTGGGGGCGTACTCTCCTGCTGACCTTAGCGTCACATGTCTGTTGTGTCCCTGTGAGGCTGGGACGGTGCCACTGTGTGGCCCCCGTGGGAACGTGCCAATAGTAGGTTCCTGTGGAGTCTTTGATCGTTCTCCAGCCTGAGGGAAGGTCCGAGTCCAGCAGCAGGTTCTGGTCGCTCCAGATGTTGTCTGTGGACACAGAGATGGTCCGTGTCTGAGTTTCTGTGTCTACGGGTTTCACAGCATCTGATTGGTGCAGCCGATCAGACACTGATCAGGGCACAGAGGAGGAGGAGGATACAGATATGCAGTAGTGGTATCAGTATCACTATTGACTTTTTCACAGAGGACAAAAAAAGGATGAGCAGGAAACAAAGTGCTGAACAAGCCCACAGGAAGTGGAGGAGAAGAAACAGAGAGCTGCTGAATTATTAACAAGCCCACAGAGACATGGGCTGCTGCTCTGGACCACTGAGGACCGTCCACGGACACCGGTACCAGGTCTCCTCACTCTATCCTCCGCCCCTCCCGTCAGGTGAACCTGTCCTCTGTCCTCTACCTGCAGGTCCTTGACCGTGTCCTCACGGACCTGTGGGAAAACTCTGGTCCCCCTGTAATGCACAGATTGTGTATGTGTGTGTGTGTGTGTGTCCTACCGTCATAGTTGACTATGATGATGGCCAACATGTAATCCTTCCCCATCATGACTCCGCCCTCCAGCCTGTGTGTGTGCGTGTGTTCCACTCAGCTGATCACCCAGACACACACATATACACACTGTGACACATGAACGGGGACACAGGCCCAAAGACCAGACGTTGAACCTCTCTCTCTCTCAGCCCGCTGTGTTTCCAAATGTCTCTCGCCCCTCTGTCCTTGGACACCATCAGAGTCGTCTTCCTCCTCTTTTTTCCTCCTTGTCCTTCTCTCTCCTTTGATCCGTCCTTCTCTCTCTCCCTCGTTCTCTCTCTCCCTCTCTCTCCTGCTCTGGTGAAGGATGCCGTTTTCCTCCTCCTCTCTCCTCCTCCTCCCGTTGACGTCAGGACTCACCTCCTCCCTCTCTGACTCTCTGTCTCACTCTCCTGACACATGAGGGCCCCCTGCTGGAGAGGGATTCTCTATTCTCCGCCTAGACCTCCATTTATATATGTAATATATATAAATATATATTACACATACTATATATATTGTATTATATATATAATACTATATATATATATGTATATGTATATATATATATATATATACATATACATATATATATATATATATTGGTATACCTCAATGGCACAGATTGTGACTGTTGTATATCTGTGTGACTGAGTTCCAACGACTGGTCAGTACCAGCTGTTACTACAGACTGGTACCAAGGTACTGATCATTATATTTTCAAAATAAAACATCTTTTAGACTCCATTCTGTTTGTATCAGAGTCTGAATTACTTTTATTTTAAAATATTCCCAGAGATTTTTTTAAATAAAGAAAGTAAATGGATACGACTGGATTTTCTTTGAATGAAGTAAAAAAGTAAAAATGGAAAAGTACATTTTTTCACTGTGTCCCACTGTGGCCCGGTACCAAACTACCTATGGACAGGCACTGGTCCACGGACCAGGGATTGAGACCCCTGATCCATACAGTCCAAACCCCAAAAGCCTCACTTCATGTCCTACATCGAACTTGTGACTACTATACTGACTTAGTTCAGTAGTTAAGAGGAGTTAAAACCAAGGTTCACTGATTGACTTTTTGACTTGTTTTAACCAACATCGCCCAGCGACTACCGAATGACGTCATGGAAACGTGTGACACGTGTCCCGGAAACGTTTTGTTGGAGGAATAAATAAAGCTAGAGGACAGCAGAGAACATTACAGGAAGTGAGAGTCAATGTAAAAGCCGGAGTTATAATCTGGTCTGTGGTCCAACCTCTGCCGATGACCCGCGACAGACATTTTTTCACGGCTACAGTGGCTAGCCTACAGTGGCTAGGCTACATCGATAACATGCAACAGACGGGTATAATGTTGTGGATAGAGACTTTAAGTCGTCAGTGTAGTTCGACAGACTGACTGAGTGACTGTACATGACGGAGGAGTGACGTCAGGCGTTTATCGCTGTTCTTTCGTCAACAAACGAAGCCTTCGTTTATTTTGAAATAAACCGGAATTAGACTCGTTTTGAGTCATTCACTTGATGCGGATGTGGATTACCTTAAACACTACATTATTCCCCGTGTTTTCAACCGTCAACCGTTTCCTGAAAGTTTATGTTTTATAAATGAGTGTTATTTAATCCTCCTGTTTGCACCGTCTACACCTCGGGTTAGCCGTTAGCCGTTAGCTCATTGGACCAGTGAGGCTACGAAGAAGCTAGAAGCTAAAAACAGCTGCAGTCGAATATGGAGGACATGTACGTCAAACCAGGTGAGTTTGAATTCTGTTGCTGGTCTTTAACCAGCTGCGTGTTAATCCAAACCACTTGTCTTGCTTGTTTTAAACATTAAACAACCACCGGCTTCTGTTTTTGTCCTGATAGTTCACATCATCTCGACTCACAGCGACGAGCAACTGAATTCTTTGAACATTAAAAAACGGAAATTGAATTTTGTCTAAGGCCTTAATGTAAACTCTAAATATTATATTGAAATAATAATAACGTTGATTCTACAGATGGTAAATTAAATTTGTTAATTAACTTATAACAAACGTAAGGATGTATGTATGTTGTGTTTACGTTTCTGTTGTCAATACGTGTCACAGCAGCATGTGATGAACCAGATGACGTTCACTAGTCCAGTGTCACAGTCACCTGGTAACCTGGTGAAAACACAGTTGTGTCACTCATTATTCTGTGACTTCTGACACTGAGACCAGGACGTGTTCTGGTGGTTGGTTCAGAGTGTGATCTCTAGTTGAGTTGACCGACTGACCAGTGTGGTCGTTAACTGGACTCAACCAGGAAACTACCAGGGATGACGATGTTCTTACTGCCTCTGGTTTTTAGGAAACCAGGAGAGGGGCTGGAACGACCCTCCCCAGTTCTCCTATGGTCTGCAGATGTCAAGGACACCTCAGAGGACACTTCTGAACAAAAGAGCAGCGCCACCTGTCTCAGGTGAGAGACATGTACCATCTGGTCCACACCTGGTTTACACCTGGTCTGACTGTGTCCATGTCTGTCCAACTGGTCTGACTGAGACAAGTTGATTGTTTTTGTGATGCAGGAGCTCCACCCCCTGTGTCTGTGCCATCCAACCCTCTGGCCCCGCCCCCGTGCGCTGTAGCCACACCCCCTGTTCATCCAGGTAAAGTAAACAGAGCATCGTTTTCTGTCATTGTCTTCGATCATTTGTTGTTGTTGTTGTTGTTGTTGTTGTTGATGTTGTTGTTGTTGTCGTTGTTGATGTTGTCGTCGTTGTTGTTGTTGATGTTGATGTTGTTGTTGTTGTCGTCGTTGATGTTGTGATGTTGATGTTGTTGTTGTTGTTGTCATTGTTGATGTTGTCGTTGTTGTTGTTGATGTTGTTGTTGTTGTTGATGTTGTTGTCGTCGTCGTTGATGTTGTCGTTGTTGTTGTTGTTGATGTTGTTGTTGTTGTTGTTGATGTTGTTGTTGTTGCCGTCATTGTTGTTGATGTCGTCGTTGATGTTGTCGTTGTTGTTTTTGTTGTTTTTGTTGTGGTTGATGTTGTTGATGTTGTTTTTGTTTTTTTCGTTGTTGTTGTTGTGGTCGTCGTTGTTGTTGTTGTCATTGTTGATGTTGTCATTGTTGTTGTTGTTGTGGGTGGTGTTGTTGATGTTGTTTTTGTTTTTTTCGTTGTTGTTGTTGGCGTGGCTGTTGTTGTTGTTGTTTTTGTTGTGGTTGATGTTGTTGATGTTGATGTTGTCGTTGTTGTTCTGCCCCTGAACTGAAAACAGTTCAACAGCCTCCTGGCTTCATGGCCACACCCCCTCCACCTGCAGGGCCAATCAGAAGCCAGAAGGAGGCAGACAGAAGCCAATCAGAGAGGACGCCTGAGATGGAGGCTGTGATGTCTGTGATGAAGAGCGCCTTGATGTCCTGCAGACAGACAGTGAAGGTAGGTTTACACCTTCATCACCTTCATCATCTTCATCTTCATCAGTGTTAAGACTAAAACTGAACCTTCTGATGTTTGGTTCGTCTGCAGGGTCAGATTTGTAACGATGTTGAGAAGAGGCTCCGCCTCCTGGAGGACAGCTGGACGTCAGGTCGTCTCAGTCTTCCTGTCCAGAGACGCATGGACACATTAGCTGAAGGTAACGTCCCGTCTGGTCAGTGTCCACACCTTTGTGTCTCTCTCGGCCCTGACCGTCTGTCTGTCCCTCAGAGCTGAAGTCTGGACGCTGGGACGCTGCTGACGAGATCCATCGATCTCTGATGGTGGATCATGTGACTGAGGTCAGTCAGTGGATGGTCGGTGTTAAACGACTCATCGCAGAGACACGGAATCTGAGTCCACAACACTTAGAACTGTTCCTTAGCCCTGAAGTACCAGAGCAGGAACCTCCAGATGAAGCCGATGAAGAACCCTGTGGGCCCAGTCTTGACTCGTCAGCAGGTTGACTTCCTGTATAGGGTTCATGGTCCGACTCTGCACCGCTGGGTCACTCTGTATCTGAAATGTCTGGACCGTTGACTGAGGACAGACTGGACCCTGTACTGGACACTGACCTAGGTTCCTGTAAACTCTGACTTTACTACTGTCCTGGTAATAAATAATAAACGAACTCATATCTGGGCTGCACTGTTGGTGTAATTCACTAATGTACCACCAGAGGGGGCACAGAGACCACAGCACCAGACCAAGCTGTTTGGTATAAAAGTTTGTTTGTTTCCTCCTGCAGACAGAGCAGTGTCCGAGTGTCCTCTGCTGCCCCATCAGCCCTGCTGCCCCCCCACCCCCCACCCCCGGGAGATGGAGGAGGTGGGGGAGCAGAGGAGAGAGGAGGAGACAGCTGGAAAAGAGGAAACCAAGCGGAAAAGATGAGTGACAGAGTGAAGTAGCCCCCCATCACCCCCCCCGCCCCCCAGGAGAGGAAAAGTAAAAATAGAAGACAGAGCAGCGCCCCCCCCCCATCAGTTCACTCCAGCAGCAGGGGGCGGAGTCTGAAGTAAGACACTGGTCGAGAGAGAGAGAGGTAGAGAGAGGTAGAGTTGAACTCAGTCACTCTGTTTATTTGTTGGATTATTTTAACCTCCAGTCAAACTGTGACCAGATCCACTGACCTGGTCTGTGAACCTCACCCACTGACCTGGTCTGTGAACCTCACCCACTGACCTGGTCTGTGAACCTCACCCACTGACCTGGTCTGTGAACCTCACCCACTGACCTGGTCTGTGAACCTCACCCACTGACCTGGTCTGTGAACCTCACCCACTGACCTGGTCTGTGAACCTCACCCACTGACCTGGTCTGTGAACCTCACCCACTGACCTGGTCTGTGAACCTCACCCACTGACCTGGTCTGTGAACCTCACCCACTCTTACAGGAACACAGACCAAATGAAGCTCACGACTTTTACTTTCGTTTCCTGTCGTTTTGTTTTTATAAAAAAGAAATATTTTGATCGTAATCTGATCGTCTGGAGTCTCATCGAGATCAGTCGTAAAAAGGGATTGGTACAAGTACTGGTACTGGTACTGGCACTGGTACTGGTACTGGTACTGTTTACTGGTTGACTGTCAGCCTCAGTGTTTGCTCTGGGCTCGGGGTTGGTTCCAGACTGTGTGTGTGTTGATCCAAACAGGAACAGGTGTCAAACCAGGCCAAGTTAATAATTCACTGGTACCAACACCATGTGACCCAGACTCTGGTCAACAGTCAGAACCATCGCTCCGTGTACCCTGACCCACAGAGAGACTGTGGTGGTCACAAGGTTCTAGTTATTCATACAACAACAACAACGTTCTGTTACAGTCACTCCACTGGGTCGTGGTCGTTGTCGTTGTTGTGGTCGTGGTCGTTGTCGTGGTCGTGGTCGTTGTCGTGGTCGTGGTCGTGGTCGTGGTCGTGGTCGTGGTCGTGGTCGTTGTCATGTTTTTCTTCTGTGTTTCTTGCTGCTGTCGGAGCCCTCATTTCCTGAAGGAAACTCCTGGGGGATTCATGAAGTTCTGTCTGTCTGACTGATGTCAGTTCTGGTTCTGGTTCTGGTTCTGGTTCTGGTTCTGGTTCTGGTTCTGGTACTGGCTGGTACTGCCAGAATGCAGTTTTTACTTGTTAATATTCATCTGTATCTGGCAGTGTTTGCAGTTGTACTTTTCAGTTCAGACCGAGGATGCAGTTACCATTACAACCTGCCTGTGTGTGTGTGTGTGTGTGTGGGTGCGTGTGTGTATGTGTGTGTGTGTGTCCTGCTCTGTGATTGGCTGGGTGGAAGAGAGTGGGCGGACAGGCAGAGCGTCTGAAAGCGTCGCTCAGTCTCTCAGATCAGAAACAGAGAGAAGCTGCTCTCTCCATCATCCCTCCATCTTCTCCTCCTCTTCCTCCTCTTCCTCCTCTTCCTCCATCCAGAACCACAGATCTTTCTCTCCATCCTCCTCTTCCTCTTCTTCTCCCTTGTTTTCCTCCTGGTTTCTGTCTCTCTTCTCTACTCCTTCAGCTCCGACTGACGAGACTCTAACTCTTGGCCTTCATCCTCTTCATCTTCATCTTCACTGACGGGGAGACCTTTGACCTTCAACCCCACCGTCCGGTCACAATGGCAACAGTCATCTGCACCCGCTTCACAGAGGAGTATCAGCTGTATGAAGAGTTGGGCAAGTGAGTGTCATCATCTTCATCATCATCTTCTTCATCTTCATCATCTTCTTCATCTTCATCATCATCATCATCATCATCATCTTCTTCTCACTTCTCTGTTTCTGTCATTTTCTTCAATAATGTTGAAGCAGAAGTTGGTCAAGTGTGTGTGTGTATTAGCAGTATCTTCATCATCTTCATCATCATCTTCATCATCTTCATCACGTTCTTTTCTGTCCAGTTTTTAATCATTCTTTTAAAATGTATTTTTCTCTTTTTGTTACTTTTCTGTAAAATATTTTTAATATTTATTTTCTAATCTTGAAAAACAGGTGAATATTTTTCATCTCTAAACATCAATATACACAATATAATAATTCATTAAACCTGTGTGTGTGTGTGTGTGTGTGTGTGTGTGTGTGTGTGTGTGTGTGTGTGTTTACACCCATGGTTGTGGTGAACGTTGTTAATGTGGAACAACCGTTTTTTTTTCTTTAAAGGAAAAGATAGAAGTGCAGACCTTTCTGACCCCTCCCACTCTCCTCCCACACACACACACACACACACACACACACACACAGTGGAGGCTCTTACATAATGTGATGGTGGGAGGAAGAGCAGCAGCAGCAGCAGAAGAAGAAGAAGAAACAGGTTTTATTACAAACAGTTCTACTGTCACAGAACTGTTTATGACATCATCACAGAACACACAGACTGACCAGACTGATAGACTGACCAGACTGACAGACTGACCAGACTGACAGACTGACAGACTGACAGACTGACCACACTGATAGCCTGACAGACTGACCAGACTGACAGACTGACAGACTGACCACACTGATAGCCTGACAGACTGACCAGACTGACAGACTGACAGACTGACCACCCGGATAGACTGACAGACTGACCAGACTGACAGACTGACCACACTGATAGCCTGACAGACTGACCAGACTGACAGACTGACAGACTGACCACACTGATAGCCTGACAGACTGACCAGACTGACAGACTGACAGACTGACAGACAGACCAAACAGACCAGACTGACAGACTGACCACACTGATAGACTGATAGACTGACAGACTGACAGACTGACCAGAGGACAGACTGACCAGAGGACAGACTGACAGACTGACAGACTGACAGACAGACCAAACAGACCAGACTGACAGACTGACCACACTGATAGTCTGACAGACTGACCAGACTGACAGACTGACCACACGGACAGACTGACAGACTGACCAGATGACAGACTGACAGACTGACAGACAGACCAAACAGACCAGACGGACAGACAGACCACACTGATAGACTGACAGACTGACCAGACTGATAGACTGACAGCCAGACAGACTGACTAGACAGACAGACTGACCAGACTGACAGACTGACCACACCGATAGACTGACAGACTGACCAGACTGACAGACTGACAGACAGACAGACTGACTAGACAGACAGACTGACCAGACTGACAGACTGACAGACTGACCACACTGATAGACTGACAGACTGACCAGCCTGACAGACTGACAGACAGACAGACTGACTAGACAGACAGACTGACCAGACTGACAGACTGACAGCCTTGGTTGTTGTCAGTTACGGCTCCAAGCTCGACAACATTATCATTCTTATTAACAGTGGTGTTGATGGACCAGCAGCAGCCTGGGCCTTAACCTGGTTAACGAGTTAGCATTGGTAGTTATGAAGCATTAGCGCCACAGTGTAACAGTAATAGGCGGGACCCTGGGGTCTGCAGTCATGTGACCATGTGTAGTCACATGGTTCCTCCTGCTGCTTGTTTCCAGGGGAGCCTTCTCTGTGGTGCGGCGCTGCGTGAAGGTGCTGTCTGGTCAGGAGTACGCTGCCAAGATCATCAACACCAAGAAACTGTCGGCCCGAGGTGAGGACCTGAAGGAAGCCTGGGGGGGGGGGGGGGGGGGGGGGGTAGGTGACCGACAGCTGATTGGTCAACAGGTTATTTCTGAGTCACCAGGCAGATAATTAACTTTAGTTTGGAGTCGTTGGCGCCGAGCTGCTCCTGACGAGGGCGGGAGGACGAACACGGTCCAAGTGAATTCTGCTTTTTTTTTTCTGTTGAATTTTCTTTATTCTGGTTTTGAATTCCGTCAGTTGCCTAGCAACACTCTGTAAAGTTAACACTGCGTGTGTGTGTGTGTGTGTGTGTGTGTGTGTGTGTTAAGGCAGAAATGCTAATGTCATTGAACTTTATTTGGGCTAGCATTAAGCTAACAGTTAAGGTTCCACAGACGACTGTAGAAGACTTTGTCATCTGGTCTCCTGTGGACCAGGTCCACTGTGGGTCTGAACCAGGACTGTCGGGCTAACATTAGCTAACAATGCTAACATTGAACCTGAACTGTTCGGACACAGGATAAAAACACACATTTAAACGGGATGTAACTTCCTCCAGAGGGCAGCGCAGAGTCAAGAGTTTCTGACATGAACTGTATATTTCTGAAAATCAATTAAAAGGGACATATACTGCGCCCTAGTGGATTTAAGGGGTACTGCCTTGTCAAGTGGCTTTGTCTCCATCCTATGACGTGGGCAGCGTCCTATTCTGGTTAAATCTCCAGTACATCTGACGTCAACAAGGGTGATCAACCTGGGACCGTGGCACAGGTTATGGCTTGAATATGGCTTTTTCTAGGTATGAATGTGTGTGTGTGTGTGTGTGTGTGAGAGAGAGAGAGAGAGAGAGAGAGACTACCCAGTGTCATCAACAGTGTAACCAGTGACCGTGTTTTTGTCGTCAGATCATCAGAAGTTGGACCGTGAAGCTCGGATCTGTCGTTTACTGAAACACCCCAACATCGGTAAGTTCACGACTCTTTAATCAGTACACCCACCTGGTCCATAGGGGGCAGCACTGTACTGTGGGCTGACTTTAGACACAGGCGGGAACATCGGGCCGTGTCAGGGGACCACGCTCCTCCTGTTGAAAACATAGATCATTTATGTCCATGATGTCAGCGCACATCACAGTCTGGACAATAGCGCCCCCCCATGGACTGTATATAACAATGGAGTTTTTCATCTGAGCTCAGGTAAAGTTAACAGAAGTTACTAGTTAGTACTCCAGTTACGATATGATGAGTATGATGATGTCATGACCATGTCTGTCAGGTGTCAACCAGTGGACCAATCAGCAGTGAGCGTGGCCCTCAGGCTCAGTGTGGGCAGGTGATGTTCTACAGAACCAGAACCAGAGTTATGTAACTCCACTGAGTGTGTGTGGGAGGAGAGAGGGCGAGAGAGAGAGAGAGGGTTTTGTTGTATTCACCTAAGGACACTGTTGCCTAGCAACACACACACACACACACACTTGTGTAGACCCTCACATCAACAGTCTCTCGTACCTGTGTGGAGAGAAATAATCAGGTTTTCACCCACACAGTTCAGGAGTGGGAGGAGGAGAGTGTGTGTGAGAGAGAGAGAGAGAGAGAGAGAGAGTGCACGTGTGTGAAAGAGCGTGCACGTGTCCATTTCTACAGTTTCATATAAACACACACACACACACAGATTTCCCTGATCTGTTGAACTAAGTTTCTGTTTCTTATATTTTCAGCCAACTTTGAACTTTTTTGAACTTGGTTTCGTTTTATTTTTCAGATCAATTCTTTGTTTGTTGTTTTTGTGCGTCGGGTCTTTGACGTCTGCGTTGACGTCTGCGTTGACGTCTGAACAGTGGTTGGTCTGTTGCCCAGTAAAAGCCCAGTGAGACGACGCGGTAGCATGTTGTAGCCTAGCGCCCCCTGTTGGCTGAGCAGCTAACGCTAGAAAGGTGTTGAATAAAGTCTTCTTTATTTCTTTCAGTTCGGCTTCATGACAGCATCTCAGAGGAGGCTCATCATTACCTCATCTTTGACCTGTGAGTCCTGTGATGTCACGTGATGTCACAGGTGTCATGAAGTTCTTTGTTCTTTGGTTCCGTGGTGACATCGTTCACTTCCTCTTTTCTGTTTGTTCTTTGGTTCGTGACTCGACCGTCTGTTCGTTTCACTCCTTTGTGTTGTGAACTTCCTGTATCGTTGCTTCTTCTACTGTTTTAGTCCCGGTCGAAGCAGCGTCTCAATGATGTCACTTCCTGTCTCAGGGTCACTGGTGGAGAGCTGTTTGAAGACATCGTAGCCAGAGAGTATTACAGCGAAGCCGACGCCAGGTGGGGACGCCACGTCCACCGTCACCGCTGGGACAGAGGACTGAGGTCCAGCTTCTAAACCCTGTCCTCTGTCCTCTGTCCTCTGTCCTCTGTCCTCTGTCTCCACACAGTCACTGTATTCAGCAGATCCTGGAGGCGGTGCTTCACTGTCATCAGATGGGCGTGGTCCACCGTGACCTGAAGGTGACCCTAACAAATAAACGTCAGCGGTTGTTGAACATTTAGCACGTTAGCATGTTAGCATGTCTCCACGTGTGTCTCCTCAGCCTGAGAACCTGCTGCTGGCCTCCAAGTCCAAAGGAGCCGCGGTCAAACTGGCCGACTTTGGACTGGCCATCGAGGTGGAGGGGGACCAGCAGGCCTGGTTTGGTGAGGCCCACCACACTGTAGTAGTAGTACTGTAGTACTGTAGTACTGTAGTACTGTAGTACTGTAGTACTGCAGACCACCTGAAGCTCTGGTTCCTGTCTCTGTGTCTCCAGGGTTTGCAGGAACTCCAGGTTATCTGTCTCCAGAGGTTCTGAGGAAAGACCCGTATGGAAAAGCTGTGGACCTCTGGGCCTGTGGTCAGAGTCCACTGTCCTCTCTGTCCTCACTGTCCTCAATGTCCCCACTCTCCTCTCTGTCCCCACTGTCTCCACTGCCCTCTCTGTGCCCACTGTCTCCACTGTCTCCACTGTCCCCACTGTCTCCACTGTCCTCTCTTTCCCCAGTGTCCACTCTGTCCCCACTGTCTCCACTCTCCCCACTGTCTCCACTGTCCTCTCTGTCCCCACTGTCCACTCTGTCCCCACTGTCCTCTCTGTCCGTCCCCACTGTCCTCTCTGTCCCCACTCTCCTCTCTGTCCCCACTGTCCCCACTGTCCTCTCTGTCCCCACTCTCCTCTCTGTCCCCTCTGTCCCCACTGTCCACTCTGTCCCCACTGTCCTCTCTGTCCCCTCAGGGTGTCATCCTCTCAGTCTGTCCTTCCCTCTTCTGTCCTCTAGGTGTCATCCTCTACATCTTACTGGTTGGTTACCCTCCGTTCTGGGATGAAGATCAACATCGACTCTATCAGCAGATCAAGGCTGGAGCTTATGATGTAGGTCATGACCTCCAGCTGTGTCACGCGACCTCCAGCTGTGTCACGTGACCTCCAGCTGTGTCACGTGACTCACCCTTTTCTTGCTCTCCGTGTCTGTCAGTTTCCTTCTCCTGAGTGGGACACAGTGACCCCTGAGGCCAAAGATCTCATCAACAAGATGTTGACCATCAATCCATCCAAGAGGATCACAGCAGCAGAGGCTCTGAAGCATCCATGGATCTCTGTGAGTGGACCTCCACCGGACCTCCACCCTGACCGCCACCCTGACCGCCACCCTGACCTCCTCACTGACCTCCACCCTGACCTCCACCCTGCCCTCCACCCTGACCTCCACACTGCCCTCCACCCTGCCCTCCACCCTGACCTCCACACTGCCCTCCGCCCTGACCTCCACCCTGCCCTCCACCCTAACCTCCACACTGACCTCCCCCCTGCCCTCCACACTGACCTCCACACTGAGCTCCACCCTGACATCCACAGTTACCTCCCCCCTGACCTCCACGCTGACCTCCACGCTGACCTCCACCCTGACCCCCACACTGACCTCCACCCTAACCTCCGCCCTGACCTCCACACTGCCCTCCACCCTGCCCTCCACCCTAACCTCCACACTGACCTCCCCCCTGCCCTCCACACTGACCTCCCCCCTGCCCTCCACACTGACCTCCCCCCTGCCCTCCACACTGACCTCCCCCCTGCCCTCCACACTGACCTCCACACTGGCCTCCACACTGACCTCCACACTGAGCTCCACCCTGACATCCACAGTTACCTCCCCCCTGACCTCCACCCAGCCCTCCACGCTGACCTCCACCCTGACCGTGATGATGATGATGATGATGATGATGATTTTCCTCTTCCTCCCCTCCCCCCCCAGCACCGCTCCACCGTGGCGTCTTGTATGCATAGACAGGAAACCGTTGAGTGTCTGAAGAAGTTCAACGCCCGGAGGAAACTGAAGGTGAATTTCTTTTCTTTTCTTTTTAAAAGTTGACAGAGTGAGACGTCTGTCATGTCACACTGATCTGTTCCTCCTTCCCTTCCTCACCCTCTTATTCTGTTTACCTGTCCCTCCTCCCTCCACCTGTATCTGAGAAATTCATATTTACTGTAAACCAATTAAAGTATAGAGATGAGTGCAGCACAAATTTTATTTTGACCTTTAGACGCCCCCTTGAGGGGGGGGGGGGGATGATGATGATGATGATGATGTTCCTCTTCCTCCCCTTGACACTGAAGTACAGTAGGAGTATCAGGTCGCTGTCTTAACTATTTAAATGAAGTA